GGGAAAGACAGAAGTCCGTTGTTTCTCATATGTGTGCCTGTGTATGTGCACGCGCGCACACGACACACTCACACACTGATAGTCTAGGGCTGGTCAGGTGGCTCCGTGATGTTGGGTGGCCCGGATTCCTTCTGGTTTCTCCAGCATCTTCAATATGCCGCTTTACTTACCAGTGGCCCCCGGGGGCTGCCTAGGCTCCTGCCATCACACCTGCATTCCAATAGCAGGAAGGAGGAGAAGGAGAGCACATGCCCCTGCCCTTTAAGGGCATGACCAGGAAAGGACCCACATCATTTCTCCTCCACTCACAGGGGATTGGCAGCCCCCTGACCACACCAGGCTGTGGGAGAGGCTGGCAGTGGTCTTATTCTGGGCAGCCATGTGTATACCCAATGCTGTGGGCTCTGTTGCTGATGAAGGGAGGGTGGTTGTTGGGGGACAGCCCGAGGCTGGCCATGGCCCTTTGTCCCATCGGGAGCCCCGTGTTGCTTTTTGGATTGGCTCTTTGGGGACCTTGGGGCCGAGCCTGGGCCTGGGCAGGCAGGCGGGCCATCAGTGGGTGAGGGGAGAGCACACGAGCCACCATCCCTCACAGACCTCCCCCCTGCTTCCTCTGCAGTGAAGGCAGCAACCTCACCCCCGCCCATCACTTCCAGGACTTCAGGTTCAAGACCTACGCGCCCGTCGCCTTCCGCTACTTCCGGGAACTCTTCGGGATCCGGCCGGATGACTACTTGGTGAGTGTGTCCTCGGCTGCTGCTGCGTCCCCAGTCCCCCGGCTCCAGCCCAGGCTCGCCAGCTCAGATCACCACCTGTTTGTTGCCTCTTGGTCTCTGTGGGACAGGAACGTGGGTGCAGCGTCACCGGGCTCCCTGCTCAGTTTGTAGTCGGGGCGGGCCGGCCTCGGTTCTCGCTGGCCGTTGGCCGAGCCGTCTGTTCCTTCCAGACGTTACAGTCTCCTGTGCGCTCATTCTGGAGGGACTGTCCCGTCACCGGCCATGCTTGTGCTCCTGGCCACCAGCCTGGACTCTGTCCTCCCGGCTCCGCTGTGGTTTTAGTCTCTCAAGTTAGAAAAAACAAAACCTAGGGCAGACCCTGTGACCTCGCATCCATGTCAGGACTCCTGAAGGTCACGTCCGGATGGGGCTTCACGGCATCAGCGTCTGGTTCATTGGCCAGAGTATCCACTTCAGAAGGTCCGGCTGGTCTGTTCCAGTCCCGCCTGGTCACACGTTGTGACTTTGCACGTGGAGGCCTTGGCATATGCGAAGACGCCCACGTCTGACCTCCCAGCACCTGCCGTCTCCGGGGAGGCCCGATCCGTGGGTTTGGGGGGCCTTGACTGTGTTCCGATTGCTCCCGTTCGGGTCTTAATCTGTGGGAAAGCTGTGCCCTCAGCCAGGGCCACGTCCTTCTGGAGGCCCAGCGTTTGCTCCGGCCGGGGACACATGTGACCTGGGGCTCCCCAGCTCTGCCTGGTCAGTGCTCAGAAGTCACCGAGTCCCACGCGACCCCCCCCATCCCAGCCCTGGGAAGAGCTTCCCTCGTCTGCCACGGCGTGAGGAGGAGCATTTTGTGTGCAGCCTGGTGGTTCTACAGCAGAAAGGATGCCGGTTACCCAGACTCTGTGTTGTCATGTTACCGGGAGGGGAGACCTACGGCCTTGTTCACAGTTGGGGAGAAATGGCCTTGGTGTCCATTAGCAGGGAGTGGACAGTGGAACTGCCACGTCCACAGAGGTGGGCCACGGAGATGGCTGGGGCCTGATCTTGAACTTGATAAGCAAAGTGCAGGGACCTCAGACGTCTGAGGTCACCCGGCCCCACCTTGGCGACCTTCAACTTCATTCTCCCTGCTCTTCCCAGACGAGGAGTGTTCTTGTTTCTCCCTAACCTCCACTCCCACCAACACCGTCAGGGACAGGCAGGCAGCAGCCCTGCGGCCTCCAACATAGGCCACGGAGGGAGCGTGAGCCTGGAATGGCAGCAGGAGGGCGGCGATGGCCTGGATGTTCTGGGCCACGGGGCCCTGGTGGGCTGGAAACTCGCTGGAAGGTTCAGACCTGAGGCGTGTCCATCCTGGGCCCGAGGGGGTGGGGGTGCTGCAGACAGGGCCTTGGGGAGCCTGCTGGCGTCGGCCGTTGGGGAGCGAGCCGGGAAACACGGCAAGGAAATGGGTGCCATGCGGAGGGCAAGCGGAGCCCCTCAGCCTGCGGGCCGGGTCGCTCCGAGCTGCAGGAGTGAAGCCCACGTGGCGGGGCAGGGATGGACCGGGCGCCCAGACTGTCCCCAGCCTCCCTCGCTGGCTCTGCCTCCCCCGGGGTTCCCCTCTCCTCCACGATCATGGCCTCGGCCCCTGGCTGCCGCCCCCCGGCTGCCGCCCCCCGCCCCAGCTACAGGCACCAGACCCAGGTTTTTTTGTGCATAGTCATTCTCACCCCTTGTGAGACCCCTGCGCTCTCCTGGGGTTAAATGTCATTTAATCTTAGCTCAGGACAGCAGGGCATGGGGGTGGGGGGGGGGGGGCGGGCTGTTTCCTGAATCGGGGGTCGTCTGCCCATGGCCCCGTCCTGACGGTGGGTTACCTGGCTCAGGAGCCCCTGCTTGTCACCCGCCTGTCCCTCGGCAGCGGCGCCCAATGAGGCCCAAGACCCACGGCCCCAACCAAGCTGCTCCCCAGGGCAGCTGCTGTTAGCCATCTGGTTCCAGAACTTTCTCTGCCCGTAGATTTATCCTGTACAGAACTGGACACGTCCCTTCTGCTGGGTTTTCCGCTCGACGTCCCTGCTCTCCTGCAGGGTGCTTCGCTGTAGTCTGTGCCCAAAGGTGCCCGGCGGTGGCTGCGGGCCCATGCCTGGCAGAGCACAAGGAGGATATGGCACCTGGGTGGGGCCTCTGTGCTGTGGATGTTTGTGGCTAGTGGCTACAGGCAGAGCAGGGATGGACAATGGCTGTGGCCACAGCTGCATGCCCCTCGCCCCCGTCCGGGCCTTCCCTGAGCTGCTCTTGCTCCCACGGCCAGCCCTGCTGGGGGTCCTGCCAGCCCTGCTGTCGGATGCATCGGAATCTGGCCACTCCTCACCCTCCACTGATGCCCCTGGCCAGCCCGTGCCCCGCCCACCTGGGCACCCCATCAGGCTCGCACCCCCAAAGTCCAGAGGGGCCTCTTAAGGCACAGATCACACCATGTCACTCCCTAGCTGTCCCCCCACTCAAAATAAAGGTCGGCCTCCTTGGTTCCCTTCCCAGCCGAACTCCACTGCACCATCCCCTTGGCCACCCGGCCTCCTCCCTGTGCTGTCCTCCACCAGCTGCACGTGCTCAGGGCCTTTGCACAGGCTCGGTCACGTTCTTTTGCTCGATGTTGGCTCCTCAGGGGACACACCCTTCCTGGCCACCTGGCCACCGTAGCTGCCTCCAGCACGTCTGCCTTTCAACCGCGGGATGTTTCTCAGTGCCCTTTGTCACCATCTGACACACTGTGTTTTACTTTATTTATCTGTCTGGCTTCAACTAGAACGTCAGCTCCAGGGCTTCCCTGGTGGCACAGTGGTTAAGAACCCGCCTGCCAAGGCAGGGGACACGGGTTAGAGCCCTGTGCCAGGAAGATCCCACATGCTGCAGAGCAACTAAGCCCGTGTGCCACAACTACTGAGCCTGTGATCTAGAGCCTGTGAGCCACAAGTACTGAAGCGCACACGCCACAACTACTGAGCCCACGAGCCTAGAGCCCCTGCTCCACAACAAGAGAAGCCACCACGATGAGAAGCCCACGCACCACAGTGAAGAGTAGCCCCCGCTCACCACAACTAGAGAAAGCTCACGCACAGCAATGAAGACCCAACACAGCCAAAACTAAAAATAAAATAAATTAAAAAAAAAAAAAAAGAATGTCAGCTCCAGGAGCCAAGGATTCGGACTGTTTTGTTTACTGCCGTGGCCCCGGTGCCAAGACTGGGCTTCAGAATCCCTGGCAGGAGGACTGACTGTCCCCCCACCACTCCAGGAGAGATGCCCGAAGTGTTAGTGCCTCACTTGGGGTGGCCTCCGCCTGGGCCCCTGAGTGACAGCGAAGAACACAGCCCCAGCTGACCCACAGCAGACGCACTGTGAGTGCTGTCTGGGGGCTGCTTGTTAGTCGGCATATCCTGACTGTGCTGACCGCCATATGAGCTGGCTTCTGCCTCCATCACACTGAGTGGGGGCAATACAACTGCTGGCTCCTACCTCTCAGGGCTGAGATCAGGCATCAGCAGACCAGGGGGTATGTGGAAATATGCTTGGGTGTCAGGTAGTACTGAGAAAGTGGCAGTTGGCTTTTGGTCAAGGGACTGAGGAAGGTCCCTCTCCTCCCTTGGACCTGAGTCTGGCTCCGCTGGTGCTCCTGAGAGTCAGTAATACGTGAGAAACAGGAGCACTGGGAACAGCATGTATCAGTCAGCACGGAGCAGATTATGCTGGGTAAGACCCCTGCATCCGTGTGGCCTAAAATGACAGTGGTGTGTTTCTTGCTCACACTCTGTGTCCGCCCTGGGTTGACTAGGGGCTGTGCTCATCACTGGCACACCCAGGCTGACGAAGCAGCTCCCACCCCAAACGTCTGGCCCCCGTGGCAGAGGGAGAGTTCTGGAAGGCTCACAGCAGCATTTAAATCTTCCAACCTGGGGATGACCCACCACTTGTGCTCACAGTTCACTGGCCAGTGCTTGTCAGACAGCGTCACCGCCCCCCCCACCCCCCACCCAGAGAAGCCAGGCAGTGCAGTCCTGCTCCATGCCCGGAAGGGGTGATGGCAGGTGGGATCCAGGGTTGGCTGTCAGTGGGCTCTGAGGAGCCCTGGAAGTGGGCTCCAGCTTGTGAGCACCCCCACACCTAGTGCTTGTGGACACAGGGTAGCCTTTGGCTCAGGGGCCTGGACATCCAGGGGCAGCTGTGGCGTCAGGTGTTAGTTGGATCCAGGAGCTGGGCCTAGGGCAGTGGGGTCCTGTGTCTGTCTCCCTGCTTTTCTCTGTGGATAGGAAAGGGGGCCTGTCCTCCACGCTGTGTATACCAGCGGTACTCAGTTAGGATTTGGGGGGTGCAAGGGACAGAAAACCTGACCCAGACAGCCTCAACCCCAAAAAGTACCTCATTGACTCAGCTGAAAAGGCCTGCAGGCCTTGCTTTTCATTCATTTGCTTAACAACTGAGCATCTACTCTGTGCCAGGCACTGAAGTATGTGCTGGGAACCCCTTTTGTTATGTGAACAAATCATGTAGATATCCTTGTCTGCCTAGAACTTACCATCCAGTGGTGCGGAGCGGGTGCGCGGGGATGATGGGCAGTGATCACGGAGGTGGAACGTGGGTGTCAGGGACTAGGAGGTGGGGAAGAGAGATGAGAGGGGCCAGGGTGTCCGGGGGGGCTGGGGTGGGCTGCTCACCAGGCACGCAGCTTCTGTTTTTGCCGTTCCCGGTGCCGGGCTTCCACCCCCAAGGTCACCACGTGGTCCAGTGCCGCTGCAGGGTTCCAGGTGGGAAGAAGAGAGGGGTGCAGACAGGAGGTGCGCCAGCTCCTGCCACCCGTTTAGAAAGCCTCTCCCAAGTCCCACGCGGCAGCCTGTGCTTACGGCTCACGGGCCAGAGCTGACTGTCGTAGCTGCAGGGAGGCTGGGAGGCGAGTCGTGGCCAGGTGTGTCGGCTCCCCATACGGCCAGGTGTCTGTCCCTCACAGGAGAGGGAACACACTCTAGTGGGTCAGCACTGAGGCTGCAGGCTTAGCCCAGGCTCAAATCCGTGCTGTGTGGCCTTGGGCGAGACCGTCCCCCTCTCCAAGCCTCAGTGGCCTTGTCCGTAAAATGGAGCTGACGGTGACCAGTTTCGGGGTTGCCCGCCAGCCCCTGGGCCCCCAGGGGGTGGGGGTTGGTGAGCACCCCACCCACTCGCTGCCACCCTTTTCAGTACTCGTTGTGCAATGAGCCGCTCATCGAGCTGTCCAACCCCGGTGCCAGCGGCTCCCTGTTCTACGTCACCAGCGACGATGAGTTCATCATCAAGACGGTGATGCACAAGGAGGCCGAGTTCCTGCAGAAGCTGCTGCCCGGCTACTACATGGTGGGAGCGCCGTGCCCCTCCAGCCCCAGCGCCCCCGACCTCACACCCTCCTCCTCCCTCTGCCCGAGGAGCCGTGGGCACTAGTCCCCCCACACCAGCACTGCCCCCACCCCAGGCACCGGCACCTCCCTCCCCCCATCACACACACCCCGGCACCACCCGCCCTGGGCACCATCCCCTCCAGGCAGGCCGTCCTGGGTCACTGAGCCTCACCCATAGGACCTCCTCACATGGCGAGCAGGAACAGCCATCTGGGCCCTGTTGGCCATCCCCCCAACCCACTGCCCTGAGTCATGGGTCTTAGAAATCATGGCTTCGCGCCTCGTGTCTCAACAGCCGGTGACTCAGAGAGGCGCTGGGGAGGTGGGCCTGGCTGCCAGCTGGCACTTGGGCTGCTGGGCAGGGGTGGGAGCAGGAGCCTCAGACTTGCTGGCCTGTGATAGTGGGGGTCCTGATACACACACAGATGGGGGCGGGGGCAGAGGCCCCGGGCAGCTCTGCACAGGTCGTGACCCATCTCTCCCTGTGGGGCGCACCACCTGCCCCAGCCGTGTATGATCTTGGGTGAGACCCCCGGCTCCCCTAGCTCACGGGGTCACATTTCAGCTTTGTGAGTGACAGCCTCTGTCTCCACGGCTCAGCTCTGCTGTTGCAGCGAGAAAGCTGCCACACACAAGGCGAGAGCAAGTAGCCATGGCCGAGGGCCAGTAAAACTTCTTTTCTGGACACTGACGTGAGCATTTTACGTAATTCTCACATGTCACAGGACACTGTTTTTCTTTTAGTTTTTTAACAATGTAAAACCATTCTTAGCTCCCGGCTGTGCAAAGACAAGTGACCTGGATTTGGCCCTCGGGCCAGAGTTTGCTGACCCCTGCCCTGGACACGCCTGGAGGCCGTGCCCGCCATCCCCCCAGTTTGGGCTGGGGAGGTGGGACACCTGGGTCTGACCTGGTGGGAAGCCAGGCCCAGACACCTCAGCAGCATCCCCTGGGGCCCTTTATGGAAAGGCGGTCTCTCGCTGGGCCTGGCTCTGTAGAAACAGATCCTCCTGGCTCTTCCAGGTGGGGTGATGGGGAGCTCGTCTGGCTGGCTGTACAGTCAGGGTGCCGGGGGCGCGGAGAGAGGGACGAGCCTGGGAGAGGTGGTCAGGGTGGGTTTCCTGAGGAGGTGGCCTCTGGCCTGAGATGTGTGGGGCAGACAGGGTGCTGCGCAGGGTGTGGGCACAGCTCCCGGCCTCATCTCCGGTGACCCTCTCCTCCCCAGAACCTCAACCAGAACCCACGGACGCTGCTGCCCAAGTTCTACGGGCTGTACTGTGTGCAGTCGGGCGGGAAGAACATCCGCGTGGTGGTGATGAACAATGTGCTGCCGCGCGTGGTCAAGATGCACCTCAAGTTCGACCTCAAGGGCTCCACGTACAAGCGGCGGGCCAGCAAGAAGGAAAAGGAAAAGAGCGTCCCCACCTACAAAGACCTGGACTTCATCCAGGACGTGCCTGACGGGCTCGTGCTCGACGCCGACACCTTCTCCGCGCTCGTCAAGACGCTGCAGCGCGACTGCCTGGTGAGGAGGCGCCGGGCTGCGGCCGTGATTACGGGGCCTCCGTCTCTGAGCCCTGGTTTTCCTACCTGTAAAGTGGGGACGCAGTGTGAGCCCGAGATACGCGCTCCCTCCCTGCCCCAGCCCCACCTCAGGCTGTGTTCCTGCTGCCGAAACAAAGCCCCAGGAGCAGCCTGGTGTTTTCAAGGAGGGCCCTCACCTTACAGTGCACCTCAGATCAGGCTCGTGCGGGCTCCGAGCTGCCCTCCTCCGTGGGCAGGTGCTTCTTAGGAAAAAAGAACACCCGCCAGCCTCTTCGCAGGCCTTGCAACTGCAGCCCACCCACGCCCCCCTCGGCCTCAGAGGCGAGGATACGGAGGCCTGGCGGGGCTCAGGCCAGGCCTGGGTCCTCCAGGGTCCCCTCTGCACCCCGGCTCCCAGACCCCTTTGGAAGCTCGACACAGACTCCCCAGAAAAACCACCAGGGCCCCACGGCTTCCAAGAGCCCACCCCACAGGGCCCGGGTGTCCACGTCCTGGGCTGCACCTCGGGGCCTGCAGCAGGAGTGGTGGCCAGAGAACCGGGCTCCTGAACCAGGGCCAGGGCGGCCTGGCCTCGAGTCAGAAGCTGCGTCCCAGGCCCACCGCTGGGGTCCCCAGTGGGATGAGGACGGGGCCTCCCACCTGGCTGTGGGGACTGAGTGGACACAGACCCAGATGGGGGCAGGGTGTGGGGATTGGGGGTCAGCTGGCACCTCCCCCTGACCCCCGGCCCCGCAGGTGCTGGAGAGCTTCAAGATCATGGACTACAGCCTGCTCCTGGGCGTGCACAACATCGACCAGCAGGAGCGTGAGCGGCAGGCCGAGGGCGCCCAGAGCACCGCTGACGAGAAGCGGCCGCTGGGCCAGAAGGCACTCTACTCCACGGCCATGGAGTCCATCCAGGGCGGGGCCGCGCGCGGGGAGGCCATCGAGACGGACGACACGTAGGTGGCGGGGCTCGGGGGCTTCCCGCTCTCGTCTCTGCCCCGGCCCCCTTGCCAGGCGAGAAGAGGGGGGCGGGGGGAGTCGTGAGGAAGGTGAGAGGGATACGACCGAGTCCGGGGTCTGGTCTGTTCCTGGTTTGTCAAGCGGACAGCAGCGCCCACCCATCCCCCAGCCCCCTGCGCCTCGAGGGGTGGACGGTGGGCACACAGCTGCAGCCAGGTGTTCTGACCAGGGCGTCCAGATCAGTCAGTCAGTAGATGGAGATCATTGGCCATCCCTGTGGGAAGCACAGATCCCCTTCCCTCCCGCTGGGCCCCAGGGTGGGTTAAAGCACCGCCACCGTAGGCAGCAAAGCTGGAAAGGTGTTGAAGGATAGCCCTGGGGAAGGTGGAAACAGCTGTGGATGAGGGACCCTTTCATAGCAAGATACCAAACCCAGGACCCACTGGGGGCAGGGCTGAGAACGGTCCTTCCCTGGCGATGCCAGGCGGCAGTGAGGGGTGACCAGGTCCAGAGAGGAGTGCTTCCCCCGACCCCACCCACCCGGCCGACCTGGTCCTGCCCTGGGGGCTTGGGCGCAGTCGCAGACATACTCACGGGGTATCCCTACTGCCCACCCTGTGCTTCTCACATTCAGGGTCGGGTCACTTTCTCTGGGGCATCCTGGGCACTGTGGTGGGTGGAGCAGCATCCCTGCCCTCCAGTTGTGACAACCACACGTGTCCCCAGACAGCATCACTGTCCCCTGGGGACAGAGTCGCCCCAGATGGAAACCGCTGCTGTGGACAGGTGCCACGATTGTCCCCTCATCACCAGGCACTGACCATGCCGGGAACCAGCGGCACCCTCCACTTCCGGGCCCTGTTCAGTCCTTGGGGGGTAGGGGGCCCTGGAGGAGGAGGGTGGCATCCCCCTGTCTTCAGCTGGGAAAAGGAGGCTCAGAGGTGGGGGTAGCCATCAGGGTGCAACAGCCAGCTGGGGGACGGGCCGAGGCTTGACCCTGGCCTGGCCACCACACTGGGCTGCCAGCCGAAGGGCCCTGACTGGGCTGAGGCTGGGAGGACACGAGCTGGCCTGGAGCTCAGCCGTCTGGCGTTCATGGGGTTGGTGCCAGGCCAGGCGGGATGGCAGGGCGTGCCGGTGAGCTCAGGTGTGGAGTGTGGCTGGCAGAGCCTCTGGGGCCCTAATAACTGCAGGACAGCTGCTGCATCGTGCAACCTCACTAAGTGCGCCTGGCAGGCTCGGCCTGGGGCTGCATGAGGCCATTAACTCCCCAGGTTGCACCTGGAAGCCTGGTCCTGCCTGGGAGCCTGCGCATGCACATGCGGGCACGTGTGCATGTGCCTACACGTGTGTGCAAGTTCCGCGTGTGCACGTGTGGGTGTGCGTGCATCTGGGTCTCATGGCCGGGACCCCTCTGCACCCTGTGGCCTCCAGCTTTGACTTGGTGAGCTGGCTGGGAGAGCTGCTCGACCCCTCACCAGGGTGGGGTTCCCAGGTGCCTGGACCCCCTTTGAGGGTCCAGCCAGGCTGCCACCTACAGGGAGCGTGTGGATCCTCAAGCCCCAGGCCCCATCAGTCCTGCCTGCGTCTCCCTCCATCTCTGTCCCCGCAAGTCCCAGACCAGGCCCAGGGCCCCAGGCTCGGGGCTCCAGGCCACCTCCAGCCTGTGCCCCTGACAGGCAGGCCTGCCCCTGGGCCAGCTCTGCAGGTGCTGATACTCTCGACCCCTTTCCCCAGGATGGGCGGGATCCCCGCTGTGAACGGCCGTGGGGAGCGGCTTCTGCTGCACATTGGTATCATCGACATCCTGCAGTCCTACAGGTGGGTGCCCACCCCCCATCCTGTGGTCCTCCAGGTGGGAGCCCGTGCCCCCTCCAGCCTGCGGTCCTACGGGTGGGTGCCTGCCTCCGCCCTGTCTCCCCACTCTCCAGTGAGAGCCCGGTCAGGGCCCGGTCAGGGCCAGTGCAGGGCTGGGTGGTGGGTGAGGTGTCGCCACCTGACTGACTGTGGGCCCTGCCGTGTGGCAAGTGCTGGGCTGAACAGAGCAAGACAGAAGCACCCTGTGGCTGGGAAGTGCAACGTCTCTGGAAGGTTCCTACACTTCCAGAAATAAATGCTCACAGCCGGTGCCCTGTGCTGTGTGGTCTCGAGTGTGGACACGAGTGTGGTGTAGCCGAAGGAACCAGACGCCCTTGGGTGACGGGCAGCTCCGTTACCCGTGCCTTGTGCTTTGCACGCTTACAGCAGTGAGCGTCTCTTGTTAGTTTTTTATCGAAGGAGTTACACACACGCATCACACACAGTCCAGGCATGACAGGCAGGTTGTGGCCGTGGCGGTCCCCCTCTCCCGTCCACACCCCACCCCGTGCCGGGAACTCCACTTGGCGTTGGGTGACTCCTCTGCCTGCTGGCCACCTCTTGCCCATCAGACTGCTGATGTTTGCAGCCTGTTTCCTCTCCTGAGGGCTGACCCCATCCCCTGCAGGCATCTCCCTCCCGTTTGGAGCAGGAGCAGGCAGCTTTCCGAGTAGCAAGCCATGGTTTCTGCAGAGACCCTGGGTGGGGCAAGGGGAGCTCACCCTGGGGCGGGGGTGTGTGCCAGAGGAGGGGCTCCTTCCCCCTGCAGCCTAGAGGTGTCCAGGAAGGCTGCCTGGAGGAGGCAACATTCTCCCCAGCCCCAGTGTTGGGCGGGGCCTAGCTGGGGGTCACGGTGCAGGGTGCTCACTCCAGCAGCAAGGGGCCGGGCTCAGCCTGGCCCGTGGGAGAGAGGAAGGGTGGGCTCTGTCCCCCACGGGGACTATGTACCATGACCTTTCCACTGCCGCCCCCAGAGAATGTGGTGGGAGCAGCCAGCAGGTGGGGGGGCGGTCAAGGGGGCAGGAAAGGGGAGGTGGCCTCTGGCTGATGCAACAGGTGGCCTCGTTCCTCTAGACCAGGGCTCCTCTACCCCCTTGATGCCAGGAACACTCCCACCTGTGCCAACCACAAACGTCCCTAGACATCACCAGTGTCCCCTGGGATGGGCTTGCCCAGAAGAGAACCCCTGGACCTGAAGGTTTGGCTGACATTCTGGGCGTTTTCTTCTCTGCAGGTTCATCAAGAAGCTGGAACACACCTGGAAGGCTCTCGTCCACGATGGGGTGAGCATCGTTTGTTCGTTCATTCCGTCCATCCATCCACAAACACACTGACCGTCTCCCTGGGCCAGGCACAGGTGCTAAAGAGCTGAGAGATGTGTCCCCCTTTCTGGAGCCACAGTCATGGGCCAAGGGGTCAGGGCCGAGATGAGGAAGCAAGGCAGCTGCAGGATCCTCAACGAGGGGTCCGAGCCATCCGTGAGGGGTACAGGAAGGCTTCCTGGAGCGGGTCGGGGGGCCCCGAGCTGAGTGAGAAGGATTCCCAAGGACAGGCTGACCCGGAGAGTCAGGGGCCAGCCAGGCAGAGAGCATTCTGGAAACGTGTGATGTGGAGGGCGTCTTGGGCCCCAGCTGCACCCCGGGGGCAATACTGCACAACTCTGACCCCTGCTGCCCCACGGGGGTGGGGCCTGCTTAGACGGCCCGGCTCAGTTATTTGAGAAAAGCTTGAAATTTGTGTTTCCCTGTGAGCGCAGCCAACCCATGAACACTTGCGGTGAATTACTTCAGAATGTAAAAGACTGTGAGGACCAACAGTTGGGGCTAAACAGAGCCTGCCTGTGGGCCCGAGGCAGCCTGCGCACCCCTGGTCCAGCTGTGAACCCTCAGGCGGAGGCCTCTCCTCCCATGGGCCCCCCTGCCCCCCGCAGGCCAGCTCTCACTCAAGTGCTAAGGGCTGTGTGTGTGCCTGCAGTCTGCAAAATCCAGCGTCCTAACAAGCCCGCCCACCACTCAGAGAGGGTTTGGAGGGTCTGGGGGAGCTTCCGGAATAAGTGCTGAGAAGGTCCAGGTTGCGGCCGGGCGGCCTCAACCCCCGTCAGAGGATTTGGGTGGACTCCCCAGGAGCCTCAAATGTCGATTGAAGTAACCATCCAGGTGTGAGCATCCTGGGGCCAGTAGGATGGCCCTCAGTGTTGGGGGCCAGGTTCTTTGTGTGTGTTGCTGCACACCCCCAGGCATTGTCCTCAGCCCCTGGCCCCAGCCGGGAGGGAGGGGGCGGAGAGACTCTTCGGTTATCTCAGCTCATCTCAGCTCGCCAGCCGTCGGCCAGAACGTGGTCACGTGGCCATGTGGCCACGCCCCGCGCAGGCAAGGATAGAGTGCAGCGTTCATTGTGGGAGGCCACGTGTCCAGATGGGTTCTGTTATGTTACGGGG